ACTGGGAGTGCTTAGACTCTTTAAATGCTGTTCTCGATGAGCAGGAGTGAGAGCAAAATGTTATGAGTAAATTGTACGTGTACTTCCTCAGGAGGGCAGGCACAGGTGATCAGAGGTCCAGTCCCTATTCTTTGGTTCCTGTGGGTAGAGGACTACGAGTTTGGCACCTTTTCATAGTTCTAGCTAAGCGACAGTATCACAGCTTTGTCCCTCTGCTCTCAGTCCTTCTAAGCCAATTCCCTCAAGCACAGAAAAGGGTCTGCCTCTTCATCTCAGCTGCAGTTAATTTTGTTGCTGCTGTTGACCTATAGTAGCATGCCACAGACTGCAGTGCTTTTTCACATGTGTTTGCTCAGCTAGAAAATCTGCCCAGGAGTTTCCTGAGTGCCTGATGCAATATAACCTGGTATTTTGGAGTCTAGAAGTGCCTGTGAACTCCTCAGATCGCTTCTTCCCACTGACAAAGTATTGTTTTGAGATCCATCTGGTGTCAAGTGTAGGCATATGGCACCAGTATGGCAGCGCTGCCTACGGGGGTGGTTTCCTGCAGAAGAGGTCTCGCTGAATGCAGTAGTCGTTGCCTGTTGAAAGTCATTATTGTTTAGCACCCAGGTCTTTGTGAACTTGTTCAACTGGTGGCTGGGCAGGGTGCCATCCGAATCTACGGACATGAGCACAGACAGCTGAGTCTCTGGGGCCTTACGCACATCAGATGTGGGTACTGAGGTCAGGCTTCTCAGTAAGGAGAATCCAAATAAGTGTCTGTCCCGAGCATGTGGATCTGTGGTTGAAGGGATATGCCATCATTAACCCAAATCTGGGCTGGATTAAGCTCCTAAAATAAAAACCAGCTCTGCCAGCCACTTGAAGAGGGCTCAGGGCCTGTTTGAATCGGGTGCATCAGCAGGGAGGGAGGGAGGAGGCAGAGCCATGTCACCAGCTGCTCGCCCCAGCAGCACTGCCCTCCCTGCGGGCTGGGATGAGGGGTCAGCTGCCGAAACAGGGGGACGAGGGGTCAGCTGCCAAAGCAAGGGGACAAGGGGACAGCTGCCAAAGCAGCAGGACAAGGGGCTGGCTGCCAAAGCAGGGGGCTGGGGGTGCTGCCTTCGTCCCTTCCACTGCAAGCCTTTCCAAGGGCTGGGCAATGCTTACGTTTCCAAGGCCAGCCCTCTCTCTGCCGTGACGAGAGCACAGCCATTTCATGTTTTGTTTCTTTATTATGTTTTCAGCGTGGCTCTTGTAACAGCCAGGAGCGGAAGCTTTAGCATTCAAGGAGCAGGATTGCCTGTTTGCCAGGCAGAAAATGTCGGGTTTGCCAGTCTGGGCCTGGCTCTCCCTTTTGCCGCAGCAGGGCTCCTGCCGGAGCAGACCCGGGCTCACTCACCCGGCCCCTCCAGAGCCGCTCACCCCCATGGGCAGGCAGAGTGTCCACGGGGGATGGATGGGCAGCAGCACCGACGTGCCGGTGTCCGCCGGAAAGCCATTGCCAGGGTATGGGAGTAGGAATTCTGGGTGGAAAATCACAAAGCCAGAAGTACCAGAAATACTTCAGTCGGGTTACTGAGAAAGCTAAGGAGTGACAGAGAAAGCTCAATCCAGTAGACTGTATTTGCAGAGAGGGAGAAAACACCAGAGCATTAAGCTAAAGTGAATAATGAAATGATTCACTGCACGATTCAGAGAAATGAAGGTGACCAGGCACCGGGGTTTGCCTGTCTCTTGCGGGTCGTGACAACTTGCAGACACAGATGCTCAGTGGCACCCTTGAAAACATAAAGCTGGCAACCTCCTATTCTAAATGCCACTTTTATACTGTGGACGCTAAACTCCCTGTGGAATTGCCTCTTGACATGATCCCTCTTATGTTTTAGCTACGTGCTGTTGCCATATCCTATGAAACTAGCTGCTTCTGTCCTCTGCAGTGGATAACGAAGGACCTACAGGATATAAAATACACCTAACTGAAACACTGGCAAGCTTTACTGTTGTCATTGGAAAGTGTCGTGAGATTTCCCTAGAAAGGTGTGGTAGAAGTACAAAGAGGAATACACTTTTATTTTAAAACCTGACCATGCGCTGGTTCCTCCTCCTTTGAAGTCAGTGGAAAAACTCTGTTTTAGAGGAGCAAGACTGCTTGAATCGGCAAACAAGAGGGAGCCTGGAGGCAGAAGAGGCTTACAGCGAATGGTTTCTGCTGCTCTCCTTGAGCACAGAGCTATTCAGACAGACTGGAGACCTGTCTGCCGCTCTCTCCCATTAAGGCTAAGAAATGAATGCTTTTAAAGTTGTTAAATGAATGGGCTGGATCTTACAGCCCTTACTCATCTGAGTATTGCCATTAATTTCAAGAAAATAATCACTTTATTAAGTGCTATGGAGTCCTTAAATTGTTAAATTCTAATATTTGAGAGAAGTAGAAAAATAATATTGACATAATTAAAAGGATGTGAACATTTCATCAGTTGAAGAACGTGAGTTACTTTGGAGCGATACATAAAACTAGAAGCAGTGCAGAGGGCTCAAGGCCGTGTCGTGTCTGTAGGTTATTCTGGAACACTATGAAAAACACAGTTCAGCAGTTTATATCCTGACCATTGAACTGTATTCTGGGATTCTGAATTCAAAAACATGCTAACCATGAAAACACAACATTTAAAAATACACTGTCCACTTGGCTTCTTCGCCCTGCTTCAGAGTCTCCCAAGTTTGTTTCGGACAAACTGAGAACTTTGTTGTGGAATGACTGTTTGAATTGGGGTTTCTTAAAATACATGTGGAGCCTTGTAGCTGCTGCAGGGTGTACACAGTGGTGGAACTGTACTATTTTAAAATCATCTGGCTATTTCTCTTCATGTAAGAATATCTGTCAACTTAGTTATAAGGAATGAGAGGGGTTGATTAAAACAACTCACAAAGCCATTAAACAAAGAGATAAAATGTAGAACATGTGCTGTAGGGTCGTTTTAATTATAATATATGGGAGATCTGTGGAAACCGGATGGCAGCTGCGTTGTAGCTGAGTTTTAAGCCCCTCTTAGAAGTACTAAAGTCCTGTTACTCAGAGGTGGGTTTTCTTACCTGTAAAGCCAATAGGTCCTTTGGAAATGGTGTTTGGAAGCTGCATTTTGTTGCTATGACTGACCATAGTGTAATTACTATGCTCAAGTGCTTGGATAGATATGTACTAATGTAGGCAATTACGTATACTAATCGTTTACTCATTAGATACTAGACTATATAACAACAGAGAAACTTATGCAAAAGCTTTAGTCAAGAAGGAAAGGGATCAAAGATGTCAAGTGAACAGCCACAAGAATCCAGAGAGAACGGTGAAGAAAAAAGTTAGTGGCAGCTTATTTTATTGTCTTGGTGGTCTTGTTGGGTCAAAAAAACAGTACTGAATGCACTGCTGTATGTTGTAAGTGTGTCTACTAAGTTAATTAGCATATAATCTGGCTTTAAACAATAGATATGAGGCAGCCACATGAACTCAGTAAAACTATTTAAACTACACATTTTGCTTTATTCATATTAACCTAGTTACAGACATCAAGAGATAGCATAATTAATTCTAGCCATATCAGAAGGGGTTTTATATCTCTGGTGTAAGAGTTCAAACCAGTCTCCAGCCACTGGAAATGAGGATGAGGAGCAGTAAGGAAAGAAGACAACACATCTGCCCATGTCAAAGTTTTTACAACTCCACCCAGTTTACTTCAATGTCTGCAGTGCTCTTTATGCAGCTGAAATATGTTCATGCATAGGAACATCACCACTTCAAAATATCCAATCATTAAATTGTAGCAAAGATTTGTTACCAAAACTCATTGGAAACATCCAGAAAAAGAATTTTTAAGAATGCAACCACTAACAGTGAATTTAACTTTCTGAGTGTAATAGTTGCACTAGTTCAAGTCTTGCTCCGTGGCTTGTAAACATCACTAAAACTGCCCATGAAAAAATGACATTTGCTTCTGTTTGCAAACTGTCTTTATTAGCATGTGAATTCTCAGGAAATTATATGAATGCTATAACTTTTGCTTTCCAATTTGCATACAGCAAAGACATAACATCCAGGACCAATTATATAAAAATAGGGAAGAATTCCTTAGAATGAGGATGCAGGACTTGAAGGAGTTACAGCTTGTTGCTCTTGGCTGTAGCTTGTTGGCACATGAAGGTTCTGGAGATTGTTCCTTTGAGGGCTTCAAATGTTGTATGTTACTTTAAAGAGACTGGAAGGCAGTAGTTGGGATAGATACCCATCTTCCTACGGGCGTGTGGGGCACTCTGCCAGATAGCCAGGGTAACCATTACACCAGTCTGGCTCCTCAGCATCCCCTGCTAAAGAAAATCTACAAAGGAAACTCAGCCATCATTAAAATGAGGAAGAACTAATTTCTGCTCAAAGAGTGCAAGGGAAAGTGTGACTCCCTCTGCTATTAGAAGAGGACATCTCTGTATGAGAGAAATCAGTCATTGATCCAACGATGAGACGTGGATTGTCAGCTGATGCTCTCAAGCCAGCACACCTGGTGAGCTTTCAAAGGTCTCTCACAAACT